GCATTTGAGTAAGTAATACACTTTAATAACAAAGGTCTAAGTTTTTTTTTTTTCTTCTAGAATTGTACCTGCAAAGTATCACTAGTCTTCAACAGTGTTTTCTGGAAGTCATTGATGCTGTCCTTCTGTATTCATTACATCATGCGTCAGTAGGAAATTTCTGGAATTCTTTATTTACAAACAGGTTCTCAGTTACCCTCAGCTCTGCTGTGCTCTGTGAGCCAGGAGCATACTTAGGAACTCACGCCATGGAGCATCTGAGTGTCTGGCTCCATTACAGTGGGTAATTGCTCTGACCCTGCACCTAAGCTGCAGCTTTCAGTAGCTACAGGGAGTTCCTCTCTTCAGACCTGACTGACTCCATTGTGTAACTGGTGTGGTATGATAGCTCTAATATGGATAGAATTGAGTGACAATTCTCTGGAGGCAGACAGAGGATTGATTTCCAAAACAGGGATTGGTTATATTTCAGGCAATTGACCGTAATTTAGAGGGGGACAGGGGGAGCAGAGTCAATGAGGCTCATAAAATGGTTTTCCCTACAAGCACCGATGTAATTAGCAACTCACTGTAATTGAAAAGGTACAGGAACTCTTGGACATGTTCCTGTGGCCTCATCACAAAGCGTGTCTGGTCGGGAAAACCAAGACGCGGTTTTGTACAACTACAATGCCTGTTTACAAAAGCCAGTCCTGGGGAAAAGGAATCGTTCCAGCAGATTCATTTACTGCATTATGGTATGTCATTTGTCCCACCTTCAGTTCAGGTCTGGGCAATACGTGATTTATTTACTTGGACTATTTAAGACTTTTCTGGTGATTCTTCCCAACCCACAGGAGGCACACTTATCTTGCTCTTCAGGTTTTGCCAAGTTTGCTGTGTCAGTCAGCTTTCCGTTACTATGACAAAATACCCGAGATGGCTGATTTTGTAAAGGGAAGAGATGTAGAAATTGAGACCCAAATAAACAAGTTTCAAGAGGGTCCTGGCAGGAAGAAGTGTGGCGCCTCGGACCCGAGGAGACAGATTCAGGCTGGTGTCTTCTGCGTGAACAGAAATCAGCGTAAGTGCACCGGATGCATGTGGTGAGTGGCAGTTGCCAAGACTAGCATGAAGGTGTTGAGGTAGGCAGTGGGGTTCACTCTCAAGATTGTGTAAGAATGGTATTTTCTTCAATGATGCACGCGAGGCATGTCCTTCTATCACCTGTGTCCTGGATTTGGGATACAGCTTCTGAAGTAGCACTTGTAATTAATGCCCTAGTTTTGTGAGTGGGGTATGGGTTGGACTTTGTGATTTGCTTCTAATGGACAGAACTTAGCAACGGTGCAAGGTTTTACAAGGCCATGCCATCCACCTTCCACACACTCTTTCATCCGTTAATTCTGAAACTTTGGTGAAGCAAGTTCCCTTTTGTGAGCTGCTCAATCACGAAGCCAGTAAGACAGAGAACCAAAGGCAGCCCCCAGCCAGGAAGGAATTGAGGCAGAATCCACCAGGTCTCAAGAAATTAAATTCTGCCCACATCCACATGAGTGAGCTTGGTTAGGCCCCCCTTTGATGGACTCTTCAGATGAGACTCGCATCTTGATTTCAGCTTGTGAGGGACCAGGGGCCAGAAACTGAAGCTAAGCCTTGCCCTGATTGCTCATCACAAAAACTGGGTCAGTGTTTTAAGTCAGTATGTTTTGGTATTGTGTACAGTTGTTGATTCATGGTGATAATATCAAGCACACCAATCTTTATTCAGTTTTCAAAAATGTTTATACACACTGCACTCCCTATTGGCTGTACCTGAGACAGACTGTACCTATCCTCTCTCCTTGATAGGTGAATGCTTCCCCTGAGGGCCTGGGGCAGCATCGCCAAGTCCTAGGCCACTTCCACTGAAGGGATCAATAAAACTGTATCAATTACTGGTTACCTGCTATAGGCTGGGATCTGTTCTAGGACCTGAAAACTTCAGACCAAGTGGTCATTGATCTCCAGGGCTTTAAGTTTTGCTAACATCCATTCTCCTTGTGAGAGTAAGCCATAGAGCTTCCGACAGGTCAAGGTCATAGGCTTTCCTAACTGCTTCCCTTTGGATCATCTTTCTGTTTCCTCCCAGGTGAACACTTTTGTTCTAGCTCTGTTATAAACCACATTTCTCAGGAACGTCAAGTTTGGGGATGAAAAGAGAAGCAGTGTTATCTTCTCTTAAGGAGTGACAATAAGGGAGATCATCTACACCAACTTAGATCTATGTGTCCTCATTCTGGACCTATGCCATTCACTTGGCATTCAGCTCTTAAAAGCCTCTACTAGATGGGCCTGGTGCGGTGGCCTAGCAGCTAAAGTCCTCGCCTTGAACGTACCGGGATCCCATCTGGGTGCCGGTTCTAATCCCGGCAGCTCCACTTCCCATTCAGCTCCCTTCTTGTGGCCTGGGAAAGCAGTTGAGGATGGCCCAAAGCTTTGGGACCCTGTACCTACTTGGGAGACCTGTAAGAGGTTCCTGGCTCCTGGCCTCAGACTGATGCAGCACCTGTCGTTGCGGTCGCTTGGGGAGTGAATCGATCAGATGGAAGATCTTCCTCTCTGTCTCTCCTACTCTCTGTTTATCTGACTTTGCAATAAAAAGAAATGAATCTTTAAAAAAAGCCTCTATTAGAAACAAGATGCTTCTTGGATTTTTGATTCGGGGATGTAGCTGAGAATCACAAGCGGCCTCCTTGAAATTCTGCATCAGTAGGTAAGGGTTACACGGCAAATATCAACGTCCATCAGAAAAAGAATGATACAATAAAGTGCATGTAAGTGGTTCAGAGGAGTAGATCTCTCCATGGAAATAATGAGATTAGTATAGATTAACTGGGGTCTATTCTACACTTCTGTCCCTTAAGAGGATTACCTTGTCATTCATTCAAGCACCATTTGAGTACTTTTCTTCCTTTAAGCCTACCTCGTACTTCCCAACATGGAAGTGTATAGTCACCAGATTGCATGAGACAAGGCTAGGTTTTTCATAGACTAAGGAGCTTCTTTTTGTTTGAACAAATGACTCCATCAAAGTCAATGCCAGACTAGTGAACCATCCATGCGCTTATGCCTTTGTTTCTCAAAGAGAAGTCCATTAATATATCAGACTCCATAATGGGGGTCTTCAGAATTGTATGGCAATGTTTTTAATCTTCTATGTTAACTGTTACAGAGAGAAGATAACAATTGTTGATAATGGAGTTTTCTTCCCTTAAGATCAGTGTTGTATATCCTTGTCAAGTAAGTTTATAGTCCTTTTATGGTACAGCAAGTTCTTTAAGATTGATTAGGGTGAAACATTTAAAAGCAAGAAGGTGTGGAAGAAGCATTTCATTTACTTTGTTCACTTTAGAGAGAGAGAGAAAGAGAGTTCCCATTCATTTCTTCACTCTCCAAATACTCACAACGGCTTGGACTGGGCAAGGCCAAGGTTGGGAACTGAGAGTTTAGTCTCCCATGTGCGCGGCAGGGACGCAACAACTTGAAATAGATCCTATTGTTTCTCAAGGCACACATTAGCAGGAAGCTACAAAAGGAGCACAGACCCAGGACTTCAAATTAGGCATTCCATTACAGAGTGTAGCATCCCAACTATTGCCTTAATTGCTGGAGTAAATACCTATCTGAGGAAGTGAATTTTGATTAATTTTAAACTAATTTTATTTATTTATTTGAAACGGAGAGAGAGAGAGAGAGAGAGAGAGAGAGAGAACAAAGCTAGGAGCCTGCAACTCTATCCCAGCCTTCCAACTGGGTGACCAGGACACAAGTACATGGGTCACCTTCTTCACTGCCTTCCCAGATATTGTAATAGAAACCTGGACTGTAAACAGAGCAGCCAAGACTTAAACTTATGCTCGATAATGGGCTGCTGGTGGCACAAGTGGTGGCTTAACCCACAGAGCCTCAAGAAACATTTTAAAATGTTGATTGTGCATGAGTACTGGTGGCTAACTTTTAATACAGCCCCCTGCTCCAAATCACTGAAGATGAAAGCAACTATTAAATATAATTATTATAATACTGCACTGCTTATATATAGCCTTGTGTGCTTTGCCTGTACCTTTTGAGACCACAAAATGGAGTTATTTCATGTTCTGCTGACAGTGTTTGGCAGTGGAAAGTGTGTGCACAAATCCTCCTACATGGCAAGCCTGATTGCAGTGGTGTAGAATGAATCCAGCTGTGGAAGACTGATAAGTACAAATTTCTACATGGCACAACAGTGATTGAATCAAGTAAGAACCCAAAACTTTGGGGCCAAGATGAATGCTATTGCTTGATGAGAAATTGGAGAGTCCAATTATACATGATACAATTTTACAAGCCTCCCAACTTCTTATTGGCTTGTGAATTTTTTTCTGAAAGATTAATTTTATTTATTTGAAAGGCAGAGTTTTACACACACACACACACACACACGCACGCACAGAGCAGGGGTGAGGGTTACAACAGTTGTGGTTGAGCTAAGTGGAAGCCAGAACCCTGGAACTCCATCTGGATCTCCCATCTGGGTGGCAGGAGCTTAAGTAACTTGGGTCATCTTCTGTTGCCTTCCCAGGTGCATTAGCAGGACGTTGTATTACAAGTGGAGCAGCTGGGATTCAAAGCAGTGGTCATGGTGTGTGGATATTCCTTATGTGCAGAATGTGGCTTGCAAAGAGTTGCCACCCTGTGACAGAGATCCTGGTACTCACTAGTCACCTGTCCCCTTTCATTGTTCTTGGGATTTCTCTTGGTGGTTCAAATCCAATGGATGATTTTAATATGAAAGTTTTGGAAGTCACTTGATTATATACCAACCACAAAGCTTGCTCATTCTCATCCCCGTTGCTTTTAAACTCAACTGTTCTTGCTAAGAAAATGGATGTGACTGAGAGAGACATTATTTCTAGGTCCAGGGTTTATAACAGAAATTGTTTTTATTATTCATTCTTATTCTTACACTTCATCTGGGATTAACTGGGCAGTCTGCCCACTTCAGCATGTTTGCATGGCCTCTGCCTCTGAGGGATCAGTGCCCTGTGTTCCGGGCCCTGCGGGGAACCACAGGTCGGGCTGATGGACATTTTCCCACCATGGCTGAAGACTTCTGGAGAACAGGTCTGTGAGATGCAACCTTGGCTGCTGCTCTCCGGGTTGAGTCTCTAAGTACAGCGGCACAGGACAGGGCTTCCTGTTGAGTAATACAGCCTGAGGGAAGCAGAGGAGACAACCGTGGCATGAAGCAAGTAAGCAAGAGAAGTGCAAATAGTCACACAAAGGAAATGACATTTTTTCTCCTCCGGTGGTTAGCATGTCTAGATGGTATGATCTTTGAAGGCAGGAAATATATTTGCCTGTTTTTTTTTCTTTCTCATTCAATAAGCTACTAAATGCTGACTCATCAGGAAGGGACTTGAGTGAGGAAACTCTTTGCAGGGGTTACTTATCTTTAATTTCAAAGCTTTCTTAGAAGTAACAACAAACGGATTTGCCCTCAGTGTTTTTCCAAGTGTGGTGTGCAGACTGTCTATTACAGAATCACCTGACACAGGTCTTATGCTTCCAGAGAAGGTAGATTTCTGACTCTATTGCAAAGAAACTTTTGAATTAGAGGCATGAAGATCATGCCACGAAATACGCATTTAAACGAAGTAACAGGTAGGTGTTATGTACCCTGGGCCCCAATACCTCTGCTTTGGGACTCAGCGGTTTCCATGCAACTTTGTGGTGGAATTAGAGCTGTTACATGATGCCTGTACAGCACTACACACACGATGCAGATGAAACTGAAGCTCAGCCCCTCCTCTCACAAGGAATGTGATCCTGTCCAGGTGACTCAACTTCCCTGTGCAGTTATTTCCCCTCCTGTAAAATGTAGGTTATAAAGATGGCTGCCACATTGAAGTGATTGAGTCTTAAAAAGGACAACATGCGTTCAGTTTGCTGACTACTGCCTGCCATGTAAAAGGCTCTCAGTGAAAAATAAGTATTTGCAGTGATGGTGTTTTAGTAAATAATTTGCAAAAACTGTGTCTTGCATAACAAGAAAGACAATATAAAGCATATAGTCTCATGCCAAGTGAACAAATTTATTTTAAAGGTTTATCTATTTGTTTAAAAGACACAGTTACAGGAAAAGACAGAGAAAGAAAGTTTTTCTATCTACTGGTTCACTCCCTAAATGGCTACACTGGCCAGAATGAACCAGACTTCATCCAAGTCTTCCACATGGGTGACAGGGATGCAAGCTCTTGGGCCATTTCCCACTGTTTGCTCAGGCACATAGCAAGGAGCTGGGTTAGAAATACAGCTACCAGAACTCAAAATGGCACGCATATAGGATGCTGGCATCGCAGTCAGCAGTTTAACCCATTGCACCAGAATGTCAGCCACCTAGGTAATTATTTATAAAGAAGTACTCTACTGAATTCAGAAGAGTGCAATAGAGGGCAGCAGGCCACAGAAACTATTTTCTTATAAAGGAAGATACTGAAAAATTACGTTTTCAGTGGTTGTTGCTCATAATGTGTAAAGAACTTTTCGTACTGGGGAACTAGGCAGGGAGTTATATAGGAATAAGTTAGGCATGTCCTCCCACCCCCTGCCTAATTTCTGTATGGCACTGCACTGTGATTCCATACCTTATGTATCAGTATAGTACATCCACTTTCCCATGAAACACCTGTGTCTCACCGGGGGCTAGGACAGAGGAAATGCCTTATTGCTCACTTGGAAGTTAGGCTCTGGATGGAGGCACCATGAATCTCTCATTAATTCTAACACATGCTCAACTCACCTCTGTTTATATATTTCATTGAGGCATTACCTCCTATCTCTTAAGAGTCTACTAACATGAAGAGGGTCTCCTTCGGCTTTCCTGTGCTATGTGATGGATTCTTCTCTGGCATCCTCACCATCTCCCTTCTCATGGGTAACTCTCTGGTCAATTCATGATGAGTAACTGTGTGTGGTGGCCCACACTCATGTCTGACAGTGTATTCTCTCTGTGTGTCTCTTAAACAGACCCTGCTCTCTTTTCTGGATCTATGTTTCTGCCTTGAATTCGTATCTCTTTGGGTGGGGAGGAAGAATTAGGAACAAAAATTAAGATACTGATACCCATAACCCTTCCATAGCCATTTCATTTGTGAGTCATAAAAATCCAGGGGGCTAAGGAGGGAGAGATGAGGCAACAGAGCAGGGGGTGGAATGCACCATCTTAGGAGCAGGTGGCTCTAACTAAAGTCCTCATGGACCTTTATTATCTGCTAGATGCTGACGAGATTATGTGACCTGTTGGAGCTTCTGTTTCTCACAACTCTGAAATGAAGAGAAAATGAAATAAAGTTCTTATCAAAATGTCTGGGCTATAAATATATTATTGCTGTGAGTAAAGCCAGTGTTGGAGTTTGCACAGACAGCAAAAGACGGAGCTGTGGCTGGATCCAAAGCTTCGCTGCCAAACCCCAACTGATTGAACTACTAGATCAAGCTCCTGCAAATCTCAGAGAGTAGCTAACCTAACAATCCACACACACCTCCTCCTTATGACCCTATCAACTTACCATAAGGCCTTGTTCTCTGTTACCAGGGATATTATTTACTCTCAAACTTTGGCTAGCAAGCCATGTTGATAAAACAACAGACAAGCAGAAGCCCTTCTGAGTGAATTATTTATCTGGAAACTTGGCTGCAGCTATAGCATTCCTTGCTGAGGTGTTGGGTTCAGGTGAAGTAGATGAGCTCACCATGCAGCTGCTGGTGCTGAAGGCTGTGAAGGTAGCGCATCTGCAGAGCTTCCCACTGAGGCCTGGAGTCATAAATCCTCATGATGCTATAAAAGTAGCGCTGTTGCCCTTGAGTTAGGCCCTGTGGGAGCAAAACAGATGGTTTTGAGGCACCTGTGGAGAGCGACAGCATTCCAGGGGTGTGTGAGTGTGTGGAAGGAGGTGGTTGCTAATGATGTAGTATACCTGGTCAAGCTCCCACTTGCAACTCAGCTGGCATTTCATATTGGAGTGCCAGGACAGGTGAGAGGCCAGGATAGAGCTCCTTGTTCCTGCCCTCAGCCTGGCCCAGACCTGGCTGCTGTGGCCATTTTGGGAGTGGATGAATCCGTGAAAGGAGGATCTCGCTGTTTCTCTCTCTCTCTCCCTTTCTACATGTGTCACTATGCCTTTCAAATAAATAAATAAAATACATTCTTCAAAACAACGACGAATCTTTCACAGAAACGAATTGCTTCTCTTGATGTAATAAACATGTAGAGAAAGATATAGATAGATAACTGAGAAAAATAGTTGTACAGAAAGAAGTAGGTTTATTTTGGCTCATAGTCCAACTTGAGGGGCCCCCATACATTGGGCATCTGATGAAGGCAGTTTTCCTGGTAGAGTCCTGAGGTGTCTCAAGACATCATCTGGCAAGCAGCAGCACACAGACGCTGTCCGTGTGGTCTCTTACAAGGCCACCAGGATTAATTCACATGGGCTGCACCCTCGTGACCCAACGCAATCCCTTTACCCCTCAAAGCCCTGCTTCCAAGGGGTGTGTATGTTAACATAGTAGGTTAGACCTCTGCCTGGCATATCTGCATCTGATATCAGAGTGTTGATTTGAATTCCTGTTTTTCTACTTCTGACCTAGCTTCCTATTAACCAATTAATTAATGTGCCTGGGGAAGTAGAAGGGGGATGGCCCAAGTACTTGGGTCCCTGCAAACCATGTGGGAAACCCAAATGGAGTTCTTGGCTCCTGGCTTTGGCCTAGCCTGGCTCTGGCTTTTTCAAGTATTTGGGAAATGAACCATTATATGGAAGTGTTCTCTCTCTCTCTCTCTCTCTCTCTCTCTCTCTCTCTCTCTCTCTCTCTGTGATTCTGATTTAAAAAAAAAAATAGCCCTATCTTGGGCCCAGTGCAGTAGCATAGTGGTTAAAGTCCTTGCCTTGCATGTACCAGGATCCCATATGGGCGCCTATTCTAATCCCAGTGGCCCCACTTTCCATCCAGCTCCCTGCTTGTGGCCTGGGAAAGCAGTCGAAGATGGCCCAAGGCCCAGCCATTGCAGCCGTTTGTAGAGTGAATCAGCAGACAGAAGATCTTCCTCTCTGTCTTTCCTTCTCTTTGTATATCTGACTTTGCAATAAAAATAAATAAAATTTTTTAAAGCCCTACCTTTAAAAACATTAATTGAATTAAGTTTCTACCTTTTTAGCAGTATTAACAGGAGGCTTTGGGGGTTAAATGTTTACCACATGGTCCTTTGAAGGGACATCTAATATTCAAATTACTATCTATAGCATGGTAGATAGAACTTAATGTACAATAATGGCAAATTAACAATTGGGCACTCTTTCCCCTTAGTTTGCCTTAATGTGTATGAGTCATCTGTATTAAGAAAGTGAGTAAGCTAAAGACTAAGTTGACCCATGTTTTGGACTGAGAGAAATGTAAGTATTTCCAAGACCTTGTTATTTCATTTGCCCTTTTTGAAGAAAGTAGACTGCCAGAATACACTCAGGTGTGGGATGTGTCTGGACCCTGGATGATTCAGTAGAAATTTCTCAGTAAGCTAGGAAAAGAGGTGAGCCCCTGGGTATGTGGTAAGAGTTGGATGTATTAGTGAGCAGGTGCTGTGACAGCAGGAGACAACCTCTGCCTGTAGAAGTCAGGGAAGTTGCCCCATCTGAGATGCCTACCTCCTCTGCGATTGAAGGGTAAAGGGGAGAAGTTCTCTCAAGGGGCTGGAATCCTGGCGTCCCAAGGGACAGGGCAGAACCCGGGAACCCGGTAGAGACCCAAATCTCAGGTACGCCCAGGTCATCTCCTTTAGGTCTACTCCAGGGGCGGGGAGCTGGGATCACAATCTGTTTTAAAATGCTTTGCAGGTGATTCTGTCACATATACCATAAGCAATCAGACTCACTGAATCAGAAGAAAAGGCTAATTATAGCCAGAAGGGAGAAAGTGATATAAATTCTCCTGTGGAACACTAAATATATGAATATGTATGGACCCACACTAAATTTTTTTTAGTTGAAAGACAGCATAGCATCTGATTTTGAAAAAAATTATTGAGTTCAGTGAAGAAAGATGATAGAAGAATTTTGTGCTATGGTAAACATTTAGAAATTGACTTTTTGTATTTTTTTCAATTTAGATAAAAATGATATTTTACATTTTTTTACAGTACAGATTTAGAAGCATGGGGGTTTCTCCTTCCCCCCATCCTCCCTGTTTCTCTGCTTATTGTTTTTCTCCCAATTATTACTATATCATATTCAGTTGCTTCACATTAACAATCCTAACTTTCCAGTATAAAAAGGTATCATGACTGTTATATGAGAAGCCACTGAATGTCTGTAACTAAGGCAGTGGTTCTCAATGTGGATGATTTGTACCTTGAAAAACATTTGGCAATATCTGGAGACTTTTTTGAGTGTTTCAGTTCTGGGAAAGGGGAGGAGCACTACTGGCATTCAGTGGAAGGGACCAGCAATGGCTGGAATGCACAAGACAGCTCTACCATGTGCTTGCAACGAAGGGTTCCCTAACTCCAGCTGCCATACTTTGAACTGGACTGATTTGTATTTTGAAAAGGTAACTCAGACCTTGCGTGGACAACGAAGCAAAACAGACTATGGAACACTTAGGAGGCTACCAGCATATTATAGAACTAGGGGTAATGGAAAAGGGAAAACGTCAAATATTATAAAATATCTAAGACATTTTTTAAAAGTACTTATATGCTGAGCTAGCTAGCACTCCCAATCAGCCCCTTATTTAAAGAAGCCCTATATGATTGGCAATCTGTTGCATTCATTTTATAGATGGGGAACTGCGATAGTGGTGCCAGCATTTTAGAAGGCTCAAGATAAAATAAATTTAGCCTAGGTTAAGCCACTTAAGCCAATGGCAAATTTTTCAAAACCATATAGTAAAGACTAAATATGAGAAAATGAAATAAAAGATAAAGCTAGAGTAAGGTGGCATATCTGTTAGGAATTGTGTGTGCAGGTAATATCTGTGTTGTATTTTTAGGGGGATCTGGAGATTTAAGCTTAATACTGAAAATAAATCCAGATTGAAGTGAACAAAACCAAGTATCTCAAAATTTGAGACACCCATTTCTGTTTTATAGATTGAGTTAAATATTTTAAAAGGTAATATAGCTGAAGAAGAGAAAGGATTCTACTTATGAATCACTAATTAAGCCTTTTCAGATGATTGAGAACAATATGAAAATTGTAAGCCAATTTTAAAAGCAAAGCTGCAACATATAACAGGAATTTCCATTTTATAAGAGAATCTTAAGTTATGAGTTATGATTTCATTTTACAAAAAATTAGCTTTTATCCATGGTAAAATTCTAAACCTCTTAAATGAAAAAGAACAGATAACATTGCTAATAATCTTACCCTGTTACCCATCTTTCTTTGAGGGGATGGGGAAGAATTTAAATTTTGGCAAAGAATATTTATGAGGAAAGCTTTAACCAAATTTAACATAATGGAAAAAACAGCCCTCCAATAGGAAGCCAGAATTAAATGTTGTAGTGGAGTTTCCTCTGCTGTTGGAGAATCAGCCAGGACAGACATAGTTTGAGAGGGTTCCTGTAAAGAAATGGATTTGATAATAAATCAAGCAAGTCCTGGTCCATTCCCTCACTCATACCTCCAATATGCACCAGGAACTTGCTCACCCCAAAGCTGGGTAAACAAACAAAAATTAGAAAAATTCTGAAGCTTCTGGGGGGAGAGAGAGGTGATATTCCTCCATCTGAAGAAAATTGGTACCTTCATCAATGGAGTATCAGAGGCAGAGTAAGGAACTCGGATGCAAGGAATCTGTGGACCATTTCGAAGCCTCTGTTGTCTTTTCCGGTTTTCTCCCATTCTTCGTCCTGTGCCTCCAAAGGGAAAGAAAGAATAGCATAACATTTTGTTACACTCAATGCATTTTGGGGATGTACCTAAGTCAATACTCACTTAAGTAAATATATACATAAATGCTACTTGTTAAAGATTGTCCACATTTTCTTGTTTTACACAATTGTGTACAATTATTGGCATTTAAAGAATTTCATTTTATGTATTTATTTTCATGTTTGCATTGGTTTTAGAAAAGGGAGGTCACAGCATATTTGTGTGTGGTATACTCTGCCAAATCATTTGATATTTCTAAATGTTTTCTAAAAATTATGAATTTTTTGCAGTATAGTATACTTTGGCATCATTCTCCATTTCTTGTACATTTGCTTCTGCAATTTTATAGTGTTGTATTATAAAATAAACTATTACACTTAGTTGTATTTCTTTTCTACTTGCCTGACAAAGATACAAGGAGTCATTTCAGCTATGACTAAGATTCCTTTCCAGATGATTTAAGGCTTAGGCTCTCAGATGTATATCAGAATAAAAAATTAACAATTCAGGAAGCATTGGGTTGCCAAGGCAGAGTGGAAATCTCGAACGTTCTCCTGTCTGCTCACTCCTTAGCCCTTATCAGCGGTGCACACCATCCATTAACAGGAAGAAGATAGCAAAGCAAATACAGTAAACCAATCCTCTATACACAACAGGCTATTATTAATACCTGCACCATGTGGTAATAACAGAAAAGAAATTCTAGTAAGACTGCAAGGCTTTTAGATTTAGATAGACTTGCAGAATTTTTTTCCAATTGGATAGCTTCAGTCATTTCATTTTCACAATAGTAGTTTTACCTACCTCACTGTATTGATTAACTGGGAACATAAATGTAGAATATTCTCATCTTATGCCGGTTTATTTTTTTCTGCCTTCCCCTAATGAGTTTCACTCTTCCTCTCTTTCTTTCTTTCTTTCTCATCATTCTCCCTCCCCATTCCCCCCTACACACACACACACACACACACACACACACACACACAGAGTTTAAGGAATATTTATTACATATAAAGTATTATAAAGGGTGATTGATTCTGGATTCACAAATCCGAAGCTCAGATCTTCTGGAAGAGAAATTTATTAGGAATACATCAGTTGACGTTTCTGTGTTTTTATGCTATAAACTTTAAGTCAAGCTATAAATATTTTATGTAATACTTCTTTCCTTCAGCATACACTCCAGAAACCATAGCATTCAAGGCAAACTCCTTTTAATATTCTCTGTGATTGAAGCCCATCTTCTATCCAGTACTCAGATCATCTCAATTTCCCTTCTCCCATTTCCAAGATCTGCAGAGCAGAGAATAAATATTCTTCAAAGCTGGAAAGATTCTATCTGCCCTCAGATAGCACAAGGGAATGGCAGATCTCTTTCGTGTGGTGACAATGCATGTGTGCTGTTCTTGGGCTGTTGCTTTAGAAATTCATCTTATCTTCTCAATTGATCTTTGACAAAATTTGATTAAAATGCCTGGGGAATTCATGAAGAAAAAAAATTTGCAAAATAATTCTGAAACAAAAGACAGATTTGTTTGAAAGGAACTTACCCTGCATTACAGCTCCCTTCTTTTTAAGAGATGAAGTTCAGATCCAATATAGTTGTTTTGCTAGACTCTATTCGTGGGGTGGTAGCAGTGCAGTCACTGTTGATAAGCTGACATCCAAGCAACACCATGTGATGAAACAAACAACTCAGGGAGTTTGGCAGTTTGGTTTTCTCTACTCCTAGGTGACAGTTAGCCACACAATTTATTTTTTTTCTTTTAAGTTTTGTGCATAATCAAGTGTAGACTTCTAGATCTACCATATCTATATTGTATGCAGACACAATGGAAGAAAAGGCATGGAGACAAATGCTGAATATTAAGTAAAAAGTTTCTACCAGCTAATAGGTTGTTCCATGAGAATTTTCCAGATTGAGAGTCAACAACCCCATTATTATTTTCCAGAATCACAAAGGAACCATACCTAAATATAGATGCAGGGGCATGAATTTGATGGCAGCAAGCTAGGAAAATTTTCTATTGTTAATGTCCCATTTTCATTTGGAGTGGGGAAGAGTAAGATGCTCTCCATGTTTGATCTTGGTTACAGGATCGTAATGAACTTCTGGCACAAGATTCCAGCCTGAAGTGATGTCCTCCCTCCCATTCTGATAGTAGTCCTTACTCCTGTCTTGCTTTCACTTCCAAGAAACATTCTTTTGTGTGCCAGAGTTACATACAAAAATGAAGAGTTCCGATTGAGAACTAAAATCAAACCAAACAAGCAAAATCTCCCTATGTTCAAAATTCTAAAGATGCCGAGTAGAAGAAGAAGCAGGGAATGAAAATGATGAATCATAGGTTTTAAATCATGAAAAAAGAAAGGACTAGACAGACATAAAAATATGGGTATCTTTATCAAAAATTTGAATGAAATCCTCTGGGAAACACAGATGACATGGACAAGAGTCTGAAAGTGTTAACAGATGCCACACAATCTCTCACTGGGTCTAAGATTTTACCAAGAGGTAAAACACAGTTGAGTGCAGAGCTGGCATCATTGACTGAGTCTTCCTTAAATGCTTTTCCAGGACATTATGGCACCTAAAGACCACCTGCTAATGGCACACACACGCGCTGATTCCTAACAGTGTGTGCTAGCACTTGTCCTAACAGGAAATTGGTAGCAGATATTGGTTATCCAAAGACTGGTGAGGACATTAAACTGCCGTCTCACCTAGAGCCATCGTTATACACCAAGCCTGTGAAGACCATGAAACCAGCTCTTTCCTATGAAGTGCTGCTTCATGAGCAATGCCCCAGCAAACCGCTCTCATCCCAAACCCTTGTTTCTATGATCTTGCCAGTACTGCTATTGTTACAGTTGCCATTGCCACTGTTGTCGCTGCTGTTGCTGTGGCTGTGGCTGGCAAGGCAGTGACTGCTGTCATGGCCACAGGTGCAAGCAGGAGTATGAAAGAATAAAGATTTCCTTTCTTCCAAACTTCTGCATCCTGCCTCCTTTATGATGCCAGCTGGCTAGGGATTCTAGGAAATGCATTTTTCAGTCTTTTGTGGTAAAGAGAAGGGTTTAAGAGGATAAGCACAAAGCTGACAGGGAATGGATGCTCTCCAACACACATTACAACAGAGCTAAGAAGCACCTACAGGACCGCTGAAGTTGGACAGAAGGCTGAAGGGCTTAGAAATATAGTGTTTCCTACTGACACCACAGGTTGAAAATTTCTAAGAGATAATTGATTAGCTATAAGGTAGTGTCAGAGAATGGGAGACACGTATTTGGATAATAGCCGCAGAATTAAGAATAAGGAAACAGTTTTTAACCCCAAAAAGGCTAACTAACTTGACATGTTGAAAAGAGCTAAAACTACTTATAGACAATAACAATAAATATCCACAATCTAATTACTATGGAGAATACAGTTTGACTACTTGTAGAAAAGATACTATTCCTCAGCTAAAACATTGGTGCTACAGTGGGCCCACTGGTTAAGACTTCAGTATGTCTAATACTTAGGATATATCATGATGTGTTCTTTACAAGACATTGATACGCCTAGTAATTAGACATATCAAGACATTGAGCAGTGTGCATTTGCCCTATACTAATACTTAGGATATGTTCAATAAAGCATTTTCATGGAATAATGGTGTAAATGTGACATCATGAACAATGCTAATGCTAGGTAAGGAAGAGGGACCTGTGATTAGAATCCAAGATTAAGGTAGAATAATACATTGAATCCTCTCTGCAAGAAATGTCAAATATTTAGTTTTGACCCTATAATATCAAGCTGCATAGAAGAGAAGAAGTAAGATGCCAAATGAGATGAGAGAGGGTGTACTGACAACTCAAAAACAATTCTAAAGACCAATTTATTTTTAAAAATTTACAGAAAAAAATTGTCACTAGAGACCAGTGATCGTTCTCTAAAAAAAAAAAAGTTATATGGCACAACTAGTTACCAAGTAGCAAAACCGAATACAAATCCATGGTTGCCTGAAGTCTATGATTTCTCCCCTTAATCTCAGGAACTAAAAATAATTCAAGAAACACACACCCTGCTGTAACAGAAAATTATCCCTCCTATCCAGTCATTACCTACAGACAAAATTCATGCATCTTGATTCTTTCTTCCCTCAGGGAGTGTTGTGTCCCCATTGGAATACTATTTAGTTGAGTAAAGGGTATTTCCAGTTTCACAAAGACTTAGGTTGTAATTCTGGAGTAGGATATTGATTCCATTATACTAAGTCATTGACCTTCTGATAAAGCTCCTTGGACTAAACATCCAGTGGGCCAGTTACACCAGCCCTTAAATCTATGCAGATATGGCCAAATTCACACTGACTCTGTATGTGAATTTAGGGCCTTTCACGAGAAAATATCTTCTGCGTACATTCCTGCTTTCAAAAGCATGGATCAAATAAAGACATAATGGAGCCCTCAATAGTAGATTGCCAAGACAACTTTACAGACACTTGAAATATCAACACAGACAACTATTACATAAACAGTGCTGCTTCCTTCTGGTGTTGCTATTGTTGTCAATTACAGGCAGTGTTCTCAGACTCATAGATAGTGCAGAACTGTTGTTTCTGTGCTTGACAAAGTAACTTCTGAAATCTTCATGCATAGAAATATAAAATTTAAAACATGTTAAAGTTTTATATCAAAGCTTCGAATTGATCATTGATAATATGAACATGCTTTGGGTGGTATGCCCTTGTAGTTTTCTCCAAGATTCTTTGTTGTGGTGATTCTTTCATTTATTTATTTGAAAGGCAGAAGTGGTAGACAGAGGGATAAAAACAGAGGAAGTGGAATCTTCTATGAGCTGATTCATCCCCAAATGGCCATTATGCTTGGGGCTTGGCCAGGACAAAGTCAGGAAACTGGAACTTCATTCAGGTGGTTTCCTTCATGGAGGGCAGGGGCCCAACTACTTGAATCATCTTTAGTTGATTTTCCAGGAACATCAATGGAAAGCTGGTCACAAAACAGAAATAATTCTGAAAGTTGTCAACTAAATTACAGACATGTACAGGGACTTCAAAAAATTTTATGGAGACTGTATATTATGAAAAATTATGCATACATTTCATTTTTTTGCATCAAAGTAAACTAATCTTTTAATTCTATTTTTCCATGGCTTTTTTGGAAGTGTCTTCATGCTATATATTTCTAGGCTCCATTACTAATACATATGGTTTTGGATATATTTATCCACAGATAACAGAGATGTTATCTTTTAACAAATTGTGCTTTAAACAAATTGTGCTTTTTCCCCATGGAAAACGTCTGATTTTGAATTTCTTCTTTCAAAATCAGAAGATGACACTGAGGAGAGCATTTGTATTTATTTATCTTTCATTTATCAGAGAGAAACAATTCCTCAACCAGCTATACCTAATATGGCAAGCTTATCAGCCACTGCTATTGCTAAATAAACTAGACAAACATCACAAAATGATCTTAGGGAAGCATCTGCTTCATAGCCATTAACCTCTTGTGTACCTACAAGTTAGCTGGGGTAGTTGTTCCCTGTGTGTCTCTGCCCTTGGGTTACCAAGGTCAAATCCGCTATCTTCTCACAGTTAAGGTGCAACTCCCAGAGGAGAAATTCTAGTCTTGGGATTGACATAGTCTTTCTTCTGCTCACCTTCCAAGTCCAAAAGTCAACGCAGTAGGAAGTATATCCTCCTCGTGGAGATCCCAAGGGGCGTTTAAATCTTTGCTGAAAGGTGACTTAGTCTGCCACAAAAGGACTTAGGCCAAGTCCTAGGTCAGAGGCCAAAGTCACCTTCCTGTAAACTGAGGGATATGCATCTGATCTTAAATATGGACTAAGCAGGGTGAAAGAGGTACATGACATTAGGTAGGATTTTTTTGAACAGCGTTTTCAACAGTCTGCTACAAGGTGGAGATTCGATCCAGAAGAAATTTTATAGTTCTGCCCACAGCTTAAACTATTAAAGCACTAAGATGTAGTGCATTTAAACAGATAATCATATTTTTCTGGTTTGTACCTCAAGAGATAGGGAAGAAAATGAAGAAAAGAACTTGAATTTATTGTATGTCTAGTATATGTGAAAATCTATGTTAGGAACTCAAAATAGACTCTTTTATTTATTCCCTATAAATTGTAGAGATAAAGATTATTGTTATAGTTTTATGGATAAAGGGATGGAGGTTTTAAGATGTCACTTGACAATTTACACATCTCATGCAAGCTGGAGTCAGGATTTATGTGCAGCTTTGTCTGCCACCTAAGCTTGTTTTTTTTTCTAGTAGATTATGTTGCATGTATTTTATTCAATTTAATAATTATTTCCAGAATATCCATGTTGAATCTGATAGAGGAATCACACAGAAACAGGGCAGTAGTCTATTCTTTATTGCCTTTCTAGGTTTAAAATGAGTAATTCCATTAACAACTTATTGTAACCTGGCTGGTTTTGCCAGTTTCAGAAAGAAGATCCTCTACCCAAGAGAGGATCAGTAATTTGCTGCTGAACCACAGAAAGACAGTTGAAGCACAGATCATAAACATACTTCTAAAACTTAAATATGTTTCCTTTATTTTAAAAAGATAGATATACTTCTTTTGAGATAG